CTAACTGACATGGGATCGGGTTAGGGTGCACTAATTAGCACTTAGTTAGCTGTTAATTAGTGAAAGCTAGTCTTAAGTGTTACCCTATAACTTTTTAAGCAAGTTCATGTTAATAATAATAATTAATAATAATAATAATAATGCATTGGTGTTATATAGCACATTAGTCCTCTCACTCCACAGTGATGGGAGCAGGGTCGCCATACAGTACATGTTTTTATTGGTAGGGGAAACTGGAGCACCTGGAGGAAACAAGACACACGGGCAGAACATGCAAACTCGACACAGAAAGGCTTGGAGGTGGAATCGAACCCAGGACCTTCTTACTGTGAGGCACCAGCACTAACCACTGCCTCAACATGCTGCCCTCTTCAAAACAAGTTTAGACACCCCTGAGTTAGATGGAGACCGGAGAGAGGAGAGTACAAGAGGGATCAGAGAGAGAGTAGAGAGAAACCAGAGAGAGACTAGAGAGAGACCAGAGAGACCAGAGAGAGACCAGAGAGAGACCGGAGAGAGACCAGAGAGAGACCGGAGAGAGACCAGAGAGACCAGAGAGACCAGAGAGACCAGAGAGAGACCAGAGAAAGACCAGAGAGAGACCAGAGAGAGACTAGAGAGAGTCCAGAGAGAGTCCAGAGAGAGTCCAGAGAGAGAGACAAGAGAGAGACAAGAGAGAGACCAGAGAGAGACCAGAGAGAGACCAGAGAGAGATTAGAGAGAAACCAGAGAGAGACTAGAGAGAGACCAGAGAGAGACCAGAGAGAGACTAGAGAGAGTCCAGAGAGAGTCCAGAGAGAGTCCAGAGAGAGAGACAAGAGAGAGACAAGAGAGAGACCAGAGAGAGACCAGAGAGAGACCAGAGAGAGATTAGAGAGAAACCAGAGAGAGACTAGAGAGAGACCAGAGAGAGACCAGAGAGAGACCAGAGAGAGACCAGAGAGAGACCAGAGAGAGACCAGAGGGAATAAATAACATAATCCGCAGTTACAAGATTTCCGGCTGTCATGATAGATTTAAAGGGCAACACACACAGAGCACTGGAGGACACACACTGCTCTAATACATTGATCCATTTGCTGTGGTTTGAACATTAGGTACCTCAGCTTTAAGTCAAGATTTGTATTCATATTATAATCCCAAAGTATTTCTGCAGATGACTCTCCTACATTCACCGTGACTCTGTACCAACTTCAATCTCCACGTCTGAACCGTTTCACAATTATTCAGCAGAGTTTAGTTATGCTTTCATCAAACTGAAAAGAATCCATTGGACCAAATCAAAGCAGGACAAGAGCAACGAGCACATGATGGATCTGCGACGGGGAGAGGGTCATTGGATCTGAAGTGGGCGGAGATAGAGATCAGAAAACGAGGAAACTGCAGAATCAGGACGAGACCCGAGAACCTTCCTCATAAAGATGGATCAGCTGATGAACGAGACCGAGGCGACGGATCCAAGATGGCTTCCAGACCGCAGCACCAACACGTTCACCCTGTAGGCGCCAAGTGTCCAGGGCACTGTCAGGGCGGAACCGGCGTCGGATCAATATCGAAACGCCAACATTCAAGATATTATTTTGAGTGAGTTGGAGTTCAGTGTTTGGTTTTGTCAGTCCTGGTACTCCAGCTATACTTTATCATTATTATTATATTATTATTATACCTCTCTTGGTTTACTTCTACATGGGTATAACTTACATACAAATGCTGGGATACTATAAACCCATCGATGGAAACATTGAAATATCCTGTATTTGTTATGATTTGTTGTTAATCCCAAACAAACTATATTAAAAAAGAGTGGAATAAACCATATAGATTTATGTAACATTTTAACAAATAACTGTTCTGGAAACAGAATGATATATTTATCTGTTTTGTTTGAATGGATGTGTTTCTGCTGCTGCTGGACACCTGCATTTCTCCAACAGAGATCAATAAAGTATCTACACACAGTACAGAGCAAAAGTGTGGACACCCTCTCCTTCACTGAGTTCTGTTCATGACTATTACTGTAGACCCGCACCAGGCTGTGTCAGGACCGGACCTGAACCCAGTCCAGATGGTTTTGGACCTGAACCCAGTCCAGATGGTTTTGGACCTGAACCCAGTCCAGATGGTTTTGGACCTGAACCCAGTCCAGATGGTTTTGGACCTGAACCCAGTCCAGATGGTTTTGGACCTGAACCCAGTCCAGATGGTTCTGGACCTGAACCCAGTCCAGATGGTTTTGGACCTGAACCCAGTCCAGATGGTTTTGGACCTGAACCCAGTCCAGATGGTTTTGGACCTGAACCCAGTCCAGATGGTTTTGGACCTGAACCCAGTCCAGATGGTTCTGGACCTGAACCCAGTCCAGATGGTTTTGGACCTGAACCCAGTCCAGATGGTTTTGGACCTGAACCCAGTCCAGATGGTTTTGGACCTGAACCCAGTCCAGATGGTTTTGGACCTGAACCCAGTCCAGATGGTTTTGGACCTGAACCCAGTCCAGATGGTTTTGGACCTGAACCCAGTCCAGATGGTTTTGGACCTGAACCCAGTCCAGATGGTTTTGGACCTGAACCCAGTCCAGATGGTTCTGGACCTGAACCCAGTCCAGATGGTTTTGGACCTGAACCCAGTCCAGATGGTTTTGGACCTGAACCCAGTCCAGATGGTTTTGGACCTGAACCCAGTCCAGATGGTTTTGGACCTGAACCCAGTCCAGATGGTTCTGGACCTGAACCCAGTCCAGATGGTTTTGGACCTGAACCCAGTCCAGATGGTTTTGGACCTGAACCCAGTCCAGATGGTTTTGGACCTGAACCCAGTCCAGATGGTTTTGGACCTGAACCCAGTCCAGATGGTTTTGGACCTGAACCCAGTCCAGATGGTTCTGGACCTGAACCCAGTCCAGATGGTTTTGGACCTGAACCCAGTCCAGATGGTTTTGGACCTGAACCCAGTCCAGATGGTTTTGGACCTGAACCCAGTCCAGATGGTTCTGGACCTGAACCCAGTCCAGATGGTTTTGGACCTGAACCCAGTCCAGATGGTTTTGGACCTGAACCCAGTCCAGATGGTTTTGGACCTGAACCCAGTCCAGATGGTTTTGGACCTGAACCCAGTCCAGATGGTTTTGGACCTGAACCCAGTCCAGATGGTTTTGGACCTGAACCCAGTCCAGATGGTTTTGGACCTGAACCCAGTCCAGATGGTTTTGGACTGAACCCAGTCCAGATGGTTTTGGACCTGAACCCAGTCCAGATGGTTTTGGACCTGAACCCAGTCCAGATGGTTTTGGACCTGAACCCAGTCCAGATGGTTTTGGACCTGAACCCAGTCCAGATGGTTTTGGACCTGAACCCAGTCCAGATGGTTTTGGACCTGAACCCAGTCCAGATGGTTTTGGACCTGAACCCAGTCCAGATGGTTTTGGACCTGAACCCAGTCCAGATGGTTTTGGGGCTGGACCACAGAGTGAAGGGGCCAACAAGTGCTAAGCATCATGGGAACTCCTTCCAGACTGTTGGAGACCATTTCAGGTCCTGTTGAAGCTCATCCAGAGAATGCCAAGAGTGAAGCAGTATCAGAGCAAAAGGAGCTGCTTTGAAGAACCAGAATAAAACACATATTTACACTTGGTTCATACTTTTTTACTACGAACATAATCGTAACAGCTGCTCTGAGCGAAGACGACATATTTTCACTTTGTCTCGGTCTCTGGAGCGCCGCTGCTTCAGAGTCATCCCCTCTTCAATATTTACTTTCAGATTAGTTCTTGTTTAAAGACGTCGTTTCAGATCACAGCGGCATCATCAGCACCTCAACAACTACATATACAGCTGTTCATACATGGTTTTAGAGAGAGAGAGAGATAGAGATAGATGGAGAGATAGAGAAATAGAGACACGGAGAGATAGAGACAAATATAGAGACAAAGAGATAGATAGAGATAGAGACAGAGAGATAGAGATAGAGACAGAGAGATAGAGATAGAGAGAGAGATAGAGATAGAGACAGAGAGATAGAGATAGAGACAGAGAGATAGAGACAGAGAGATAGAGACAGAGAGAGACAGAGAGATATAGATAGAGACAGAGAGAGAGAGAGAGAGAGAGAGAGAGAGAGAGAGAGAGAGAGATAGAGAGATAGAGATAGAGACAGAGAGAGAGAGAGAGAGAGAGAGAGAGAGAGAGAGAGATAGAGAGATAGAGATAGAGACAGAGAGAGAGAGAGAGAGAGAGAGAGAGAGAGAGAGAGAGATAGAGACAGAGAGATAGAGACAGAGAGAGACAGAGAGAGAGAGAGAGAGATAGAGAGATAGAGACAGAGAGAGAGAGATAGAGAGATAGAGACAGAGAGAGAGAGAGACAGAGAGATAGAGATAGAGAGAGACAGAGAGATAGAGACAGAGAGATAGAGACAGAGAGAAAGAGATAGAGACAGAGAGATAGACAGAGATAGAGACAGAGAGAGAGAGATAGAGACAGAGAGAGAGAGAGAGAAAGACAGAGAGATAGAGATAGAGAGAGAGAGATAGAGAGAGACAGAGAGATAGAGATAGAGAGAGAGAGAGACAGAGAGAGACAGAGAGAGAGAGAGAGAGAGACAGAGAGAGAGAGAGATAGAGACAGAGAGAGAGATAGACACATATATATATAGAGAGAGAGATGGTACGGTCCAAACCAAGCAGATGAAGAGTAAATAAACAGGAGGAATGCAATATTGAAATTTGCTAACAAAGCATTCAGAATTTCACTCTGAACCAGAGCAGAGAAAATGGTTCAAACCAAGCAGACCAGAGGATAAGAACCTCATCACCAACGGCAACCACCCCTGTGCCGCTGTTATTATTATTATTGTTAGTCACTTTTAGAATTATGTATTTACTTGTTGGATGGATGTCTCTATAACCCTCTTTACCAACGTCTTAAAGTCTCTTGGTTTAGCCTCCATAGTCCTAGGCCAGGGTCAGTCTGAGCACGTATTTATCTCAGAGATGGTCCGGTTTTTCACACATCGAGCAGCATCTGTTCATTCTTCCACATTTCATCCCACAACGACAGCAGCAGCTCCTCACGCCTCACGCCGGCGGCCATTTTGATTGATAACACCTGGACGCAGATGACAATGACCTTGTGGTGACGGCTTAAAGACCCCCAGAGGAGAGACCAGCCAGAGCCGGACCGAGGCGGGGGTCTGGACCGAGGCGGGGATCTGGACCGAGGCGGGGATCTGGACCGAGGCGGGGGTCTGGACCGAGGCGGGGTTCTGGACCGAGGCGGGGGTCTGGACCGAGGCGGGGATCTGGACCGAGGCGGGGGTCTGGACCGAGGCGGGGTTCTGGACCGAGGCGGGGGTCTGGACCGAGGTGGGGGTCTGGACCGAGGCGGGGTTCTGGACCGAGGCGGGGGTCTGGACCGAGGCGGGGATCTGGACCGAGGCGGGGGTCTGGACCGAGGCGGGGTTCTGGACCGAGGCGGGGGTCTGGACCGAGGTGGGGGTCTGGACCGAGGCGGGGGTCCGGACCGAGGCTGTGGACGGATTTGAAAAGCCTGTGGATCAGGGAACTCAGGGCACTTTAATGAAGAGGAAATGGTCACGAGCTGTAGACCCAGGACTGAGGCTGTAGACCCAGGACTGAGGCTGTAGACCCAGGACTGAGGCTGTAGACCCAGGACTGAGGCTGTAGACCCAGGACTGAGGCTGTAGATCCAGGACTGAGGCTGTAGACCCAGGACTGAGGCTGTAGATCCAGCACTGAGGCTGTAGACCCAGGACTGAGGCTGTAGACCCAGGACTGAGGCTGTAGACCCAGGACTGAGGCTGTAGATCCAGGACTGAGGCTGTAGACCCAGGACTGAGGCTGTAGATCCAGCACTGAGGCTGTAGACCCAGGACTGAGGCTGTAGACCCAGGACTGAGGCTGTAGACCCAGGACTGAGGCTGTAGATCCAGGACTGAGGCTGTAGACCCAGGACTGAGGCTGTAGATCCAGGACTGAGGTTGTAGACCCAGGACTGAGGCTGTAGACCCAGGACTGAGGCTGTAGACCCAGGACTGAGGCTGCAGACCCAGGACCAAACCATAATGCACTGTAGCTTTAAACAGACGAGTCTCTAAAATCTAAATCAGAGAAATATTTAATTACATTTGTGATTGACTCAAAACTAATTATTTTAAGTCCCTGGAAATGGATTACAGCTGTTTGCAAAGATAACATTTGAGGATTTACTTTTGTGATGAACCACAAAGAGACAAGTTTATTATTGTATCAGATCAATAATAAATCCTGCTCAGGCCTCGCATCTGTGGAGATGATTATAAATATGATCAAACTGATGATTGGTCAAAAACACAGGACTCTCAGCCAGACGCCAGTATAGAGACAAACACTGCAACACACACACACACACACACACACACACACACACACACACACACACACACACACACACACACACACACACACACACACACATTCACTCATACACATAATCATACACACACACACACACACACACACACACACATATACTCATACACACACACACACATTCACTCATACACATAATCATCAGAGGTGGGACAAAGTCATTGTTTAGCAAGTCACAAGTCAGTCTCAATTCATTGCCCTCAAGTCCCGAGTCAAGTCACGAGTCAAGACAGGCAAGTCCCGAGTCGAGTCCAAGTCAAAGGCCAACAAATCTCAAGTCAGTCCCAAGTCCTACGGTTTGACTTTCGAGTCCTCTCGAGTCTTTTTGACCGCGATTTGTTTCTTGTTGGTCTCCACGTACTTTTGTAGGCAAACAAAATAATGTTAGGAATCATTTTGCTGGTGCATTCTCGTTGGTCTCTGACCCATGGACTAACAGTTTGTTCCATGTCGTTGGCTGCTGAGAGACTTAGACCTCACTTGGTCTTGCAGGTCCAGAGACTTGGACCTGACTTGGTCTTGCAGGTCCAGAGACTTGGACCTGACTTGGTCTTTAAACTAAACCTTCCGTCATGAAACCAGTCCTCTCTGTTTAAACCTCACGCCTGAAAAACCACTTTAAAAATAATTTCACCTCTGGTTTCACAGAAAACGTCATTAACTCGGCCTCTGTTCTTTTCACCTCTGGTTCCGAGGTTTACAACAGTTTCCTAAATAATGCTCAAACAGGAATTAAACTGTGGACACTGGGCCTTTTTGGGACACAGCAGTGCTCTTTGATTGTGCTGTCATTGTGTTTTTATAAAGTTTACTAATCTCTCTGAGTGGCCACAGTCACAGCTCTACCTCAGAGAGAAAGCACAGCCACACTTTTGGGTCAGTCTCAGCTGAATGTATCAAATCTAATTACTAAAAAACGTCACTAAAACCCACCTAAAAGCCATAGGACAGCATAGACCCGGGACTGAGGCTGTAGACCCAGGACTGAGGCTGTAGACCCAGGACTGAGGCTGTAGACCCAGGACTGAGGCTGTAGATCCAGGACTGAGGCTGTAGACCCAGGACTGAGGCTGTAGACCCAGGACTGAGGCTGTAGACCCAGGACTGAGGCTGTAGATCCAGGACTGAGGCTGTAGACCCAGGACTGAGGCTGTAGACCCAGGACTGAGGCTGTAGACCCAGGACTGAGGCTGTAGACCCAGGACTGAGGCTGTAGACCCAGGACTGAGGCTGTAGACCCAGGACTGAGGCTGTAGAACGGAAAATGCATCAAACAAACCCTCTAACCTATGTTCTCTCCTGTCTCTCTCTCGTCTCTCTCTCGTCTCTCTCTCGTCTCTCTCTCATCTCTCTCTTGTCTCTCTCTCATCTTTCTCTCTCATCTCTCTCTCGTCTCTCTCTCGTCCCTCTCTCATCTTTCTCTCTCATCTCTCTCTCGCCTCTCTCTCATCTCTCTCTGGTCTCTCTCTCATCTCTCTCTCTTGTCTCACTCTCATCTCTCTCTTGTCTCTCTCTCATCTCTCTCTTGTCATCTCTCTCATCGTCTCTCTCTCGTCCCCCTCTCTCTCTTTCTCTCTCATCTCTCTCTCGCCTCTCTCTCATCTCTCTCTGGTCTCTCTCTCATCTCTCTCTTGTCTCACTCTCATCTCTCTCTCGTCTCTCTCTCATCTCTCTCTTGTCTCTCTCTCATCTTTCTCTCTCGTCCCTCTCTCATCTTTCTCTCTCTCTCTCTCTCTCTCTCTCTCTCTCTCTCTCTCTCTCTCTCTCTCTCTCTCTTGTCTCTCTCTGTCTCTCTCTCGTCTCTCTCTCTGTCTCTCTCTTGTCTCTCTCTCGTCTTCTCTCTCTCTCTCTCTGGTCTCTCTCTCTCTGGTCTCTCTCTGGTCTCTCTCTCTGGTCTCTCTCTGGTCTCTCTCTCGTCTCTCTCTGGTCTCCTCTCTCTCTCTCTCGTCTCTCTCTCATCTCTCTCTGGTCTCTCTCTCATCTTTCTCTCTCATCTCTCTCTCGTCTCTCTCTCGTCCCTCTCTCATCTTTCTCTCTCTCATCTCTCTCTTGTCTCTCTCTCATCTCTCTCTCGTCTCTCTCTCATCTCTCTCTTGTCTCTCTCTCATCTCTCTCTCGTCTCTCTCTCGTCCCTCTCTCATCTTTCTCTCTCTCATCTCTCTCTGGTCTCTCTCTCATCTCTCTCTTGTCTCTCTCTCATCTTTCTCTCTCATCTCTCTCTCGTCTCTCTCTCGTCCTCTCTCATCTTCTCTCTCATCTCTCTCTTGTCTCTCTCTCATCTTTCTCTCTCATCTCTCTCGTCTCTCTCTCGTCTCTCTCTTGTCTCTCTCTCGTCTCTCTCTTGTCTCTCTCTCATCTCTCTCTCGTCTCTCTCTCGTCTCTCTCACCTCTCTCTCGTCTCTCTCTCATCTCTCTCTCATCTCTCTCTCGTCTCTCTCTCTCATGTCTCTCTCTCTCATGTCTCTCTCTCGTAAGTAAGTAAGTAAGTAAGTTTTATTTATATACCGCCTTTTCACTGCAGATCTGAGTCTCAAAGCAGTTTACAATTGTTATTTTTGGGCATTTGTCTCTCACTCCACACAGAGATGGGAGCGGGGCCAGTACAGGAGGCGCATGCCAGAACTATTGGACATATTTTAGTGGTAGGGGGAAACCGGAGTACCCGGAGGAAACCTACGCAGACACGGGGAGAACATGCAAACTCCACTCAGAAAGGCCCTGGTCCGACCGGGATTCGAACCCAGGACCTTCTTGCTGAGAGGCGAGAGTGCTATCCACTCAGCCACCGTGCCGCTCGTCTCTCTCTCATCTCTCTCTCATCTCTCTCTCATCTCTCTCTCATCTCTCTCTCGTCTCTCTCTCTTGTCTCTCTCTCGTCTCTCTCTCGTCTCTCTCTCGTCTCTCTCTCGTCTCTCTCTCATGTCTCTCTCTCGTCTCTCTCTCATCTCTCTCTCATCTCTCTCTCTTGTCTCTCTCTGTCTCTCTCTCATGTCTCTCTCTTGTCTCTCTCTTGTCCCTCTCTCATGTCTCTCTCTCTCTCATCTCTCTCTCATCTCTCTCTCATGTCTCTCTCGTCTCTCTCTCTCATGTCTCTCTCGTCTCTCTCTCGTCTCTCTCTCATGTCTCTCTCTCTCTCATCTCTCTCTCATCTCTCTCTCATGTCTCTCTCGTCTCTCTCTCTCATGTCTCTCTCTCATCTCTCTCATCTCTCTCTCATCTCTCTCTCATGTCTCTCTCTCATCTCTCTCTCATCTCTCTCTCGTCTCTCTCTCATCTCTCTCTCGTCTCTCTCTCGTCTCTCTCTCATCTTTCTCTCTCATCTTTCTCTCTCGTCTCTCTCTCTCGTCTCTCTCTCGTCTCTCTCTCGTCTCTCTCTCATTTCTCTCTCATCTCTCTCTCATGTCTCTCTCGTCTCTCTCTCTCATGTCTCTCTCGTCTCTCTCTCATGTCTCTCTCTCTCTCATCTCTCTCTCATCTCTCTCTCATGTCTCTCTCGTCTCTCTCTCTCATGTCTCTCTCTCATCTCTCTCTCATCTCTCTCTCATGTCTCTCTCTCATCTCTCTCTCTCTCATCTCTCTCTCGTCTCTCTCTCATCTCTCTCTCGTCTCTCTCTCGTCTCTCTCTCGTCTCTCTCTCGTCTCTCTCTCATCTCTCTCTCTCATTTCTCTCTCGTCTCTCTCGTCTCTCTCTCTCTCCTCTCTCTCTCATCTCTCTCTCGTCTCTCTCATCTCTCTCTCATCTCTCTCTCATCTCTCTCTCATCTCTCTCTCTCATCTCTCTCTCATCTCTCTCTCTCGTCTCTCTCTCGTCTCTCTCTCTCATCTCTCTCTCATCTCTCTCTCGTCTCTCTCTCATCTCTCTCTCGTCTCTCTCTCTCTCGTCTCTCTCTCTTGTCTCTCTCTCATCTCTCTCGTTTCTCTCTCTCATGTCTCTCTCATCTCTCTCTCATCTCTCTCTCTTGTCTCTCTCTTATCTCTCTCTCGTCTCTCTCTCTCTCTCGTCTCTCTCTCATCTCTCTCTCATCTCTCTCTCTCTCGTCTCTCTCTCATCTCTCTCTCATCTCTCTCTCTCTCATCTCTCTCATGTCTCTCTCTTGTCTCTCTCTCATCTCTCTCTCGTCTCTCTCTCTCTCGTCTCTCTCTCATCTCTCTCTCATCTCTCTCTCATCTCTCTCTCATCTCTCTCTCATCTCTCTCATGTCTCTCTCTTGTCTCTCTCTCGTCTCTCTCTCATCTCTCTCTCATCTCTCTCTCATCTCTCTCTCATCTCTCTCTCATGTCTCTCTCTCATCTCTCTCATCTCTCTCTCGTCTCTCTCTCGTCTCTCTCTCGTCTCTCTCTCGTCTCTCTCTCATCTCTCTCTTGTCTCTCTCTTGTCTCTCTCTCATCTCTCTCATGTCTCTCTCTCGTCTCTCTCATCTCTCTCTCTCATCTCTCTCTCGTCTCTCTCTCGTCTCTCTCTCTCATGTCTCTCTCTTGTGTCCGCAGCCTTCACCATGATGATCATCCTGGCTCTCATCAGCATCGGTAAAGGTTCCGGGGACGGCCACCCTCCGGTCGCCTCCTTATCCGGGGTCCCCAACCTGTTTGGCGTGTGCGTGTACTCGTTCATGTGCCAGCACTCCCTGCCCTCCCTCATCACCCCCATCTCCAACAAGAACCACGTGGGCTCCTTCGTCCTGGCCGACTACTCCCTCATCCTGGGCTTCTACGTGCTGCTCTCCTTCACCGCCATCTTCTGCTTCGACAGCTCCCTGCTCCACGCCATGTACACGCTCAACTTCACCGACAACTGCCATGTCCTGGACGTCCCATTTCTGCGGTACTTCCTCGGGCTCTTTCCGGTCTTCACCATCAGCACCAACTTCCCGATCATCGCCGTGACGCTGCGGAACAACTGGAAGACTCTTTTCCACAGAGAGGGCGGGACGTACCCGTGGGTCGTGGACCGCGTGGTGTTCCCGCTGATCACGATCGTCCCGCCGGTGGTCGTGGCGTTTTGTACGAATAATCTGGAGTCGCTGGTGGGAATAACGGGAGCGTACGCCGGGACCGGGATCCAGTACGTCATCCCGGCGTGTTTGGTGTTCTTCTCGCGGAGACATCTGGAGCCGGTGGTGGGGAGGGACGCCGTGAACAAGCACCGGTCGCCGTTTAGACACGTGTGCTGGGTTTACTTCGTCTGGGTCTGGGCCGCGTCCTGCCTCATGTTCGTGACGGCGAATATCATTCTCACCGAGACCAAGACGTAAGAAGGAAAAGTGTTTGGTTTCATGGATCGTCCGCGAGGGTTCGGACGGAGACGGACTTTTCCGAGGATGAAGTCATTTAAATGGACTTTGGTTTCGCACTGATGCTTTGATTGGTGCATTTAAGCTGCTTTTATTGAAAATCCATCAGTATAAAAAAATAAACTAATCTATATAATCATGTGGGTTTTTCATCTGGAAAAAAAATCTAAATTGATTTTTTAAAAACTTTAAAATTTTAATAAAACGGAGACAGAACATTTTACACAAATTCAACAACTTTTAGATCAGACTTTTGGTCCATTCAAATGTTTATTTCTGAGTCGGTGTCATTTTAATAATAATAATAATAATGCATTGGTTTTATATAGCGCTTTTTTTTGACACTAAAAGACTTTACAGCCGCAGCCGCCCCACTGTGGCTGGTGTTGCCAGAGGATAAGTGTCTTGCCCAAGGACACAACGACAGTAGTCAGTGGGAGTCGATGGTGAAAGTCTTGAGCGGGGCTTGAACCCACGACCTTCTGGCTCAAAGGCCAACGCTCTCTACCAACTGAGCTACTGCCGCCCTATTATTTCAAATCCAATCCATGTTATTTATGTAGCATATTTTAATAAACAAGTTTCCAAAGTTCTGCCCAGAGATAAAATCAACACATTTAAATATGCACAAAGTCAAAACAATACAAATGTGATCATAAAACAATAAACACCAGAGTTAAAGAATGTCAGAATGTAGTTTAACCCTCACTAATAAACAGATAATTAAGTAGTGTATAATTTTAGTTTTTTTACCCCATAATGGGTTTTTATGAAGTGCTTTTTAGTCCTTACTGCACATGGCCTTCGTCATGAGCTAGCTTACAATAATTAGCATTTCATTATCTGTTATTTAGTGAGGGCTAATCTAAAATGGCGTCCTTCCATCTTTCTTCCAATCCATATATTTTAACATTGTAAAAAATGACCAAATATGAGTTTATCTGAGTGACTGCTTTTAACAAGATTTTCCAACGGGACAATGAGCAAAAAATATAATAATAATAAATTAACTCAAAGAAAAAACTCTACAGGAAATGTCGTAGACTCGCAACATTTCTTTAAATTCAGGCGAGAAATGTATTAAAATCTAACTCAATAAGAATTTGACCCTGAATAAGTTAAATCTGTTAAATGTTGGGTCTTTTCTCTGGTCCTTCTGTTCACAATGAGTTTAAAAATATATTTATAAATCATTTGCATTCACTTGATTTCTATTAGAATGATAGTTTTAATTGTTTATTTGGTTCACACTGCAAAAAATGATCATAATGAAGTCATAAATGTTTGAATCTGGTGTTTTTATCTTAATCTGACACATTCTGACTGTTCCAGACTCTCAGATGGAACAAAAAAATTTAGTCTCATTTCAAGAACAGTGTCTTTTTAAAACAAGATCATTTTGTTTTGTCTCGTTTTAGGCTCAGTCCAAATGTGTCAGATTAAGACACATTTATCCAAATTTGAGCCATTTTTGACCCGTTTTTCATCGTTTTGTGTCATGAACATGTGACATCACCAGATCTCTGTATCCCAGTGTGAATGTACCCAGTATGTACCCAGTATGTACCCAGTATAAATGTACCCAGTATGTACCCAGTATAAATGTACCCAGTATGTACCCAGTATAAATGTACCCAGTATAAATGTACCCAGTATGTACCCAGTATGTACCCAATATGTACCCAGTATGTACCCAGTATAAATGTACCCAGTATGTACCCAGTATAAATGTACCCAGTATGAATGTACCCAGTATGTACCCAGTATGAATGTACCCAGTATGTACCCAGTATGTACCCAGTATGAATGTACCCAGTATGTACCCAGTATGAATGTACCAGGTATGTACCCAGTATGAATGTACCCAGTATGAATGTACCCAGTATGTACCCAGTATAAATGTACCCAGTATGAATGTACCCAGTATGTACCCAGTATAAATGTACCCAGTATGAATGTACCCAGTATAAATGTACCCAGTATAAATGTACCCAGTATGAATGTACCCAGTATGAATGTACCCAGTATGTACCCAGTATAAATGTACCCAGTATAAATGTACCCAGTATGAATGTACCCAGTATGAATGTACCCAGTATAAATGTACCCAGTATGAATGTACCCAGTATGAATGTACCCAGTATAAATGTACCCAGTATAAATGTACCCAGTATGAATGTACCCAGTATAAATGTACCCAGTATGAATGTACCCAGTATGAATGTACCCAGTATAAATGTACCCAGTATAAATGTACCCAGTATGAATGTACCCAGTATGAATGTACCCAGTATGTACCCAGTATAAATGTACCCAGTATAAATGTACCCAGTATGAATGTACCCAGTATGAATGTACCCAGTATGAATGTACCCAGTATAAATGTACCCAGTATAAATGTACCCAGTATGAATGTACCCAGTATGAATGTACCCAGTATAAATGTACCCAGTATGAATGTACCCAGTATGAATGTACCCAGTATAAATGTACCCAGTATGTACCCAGTATAAATGTACCCAGTATAAATGTACCCAGTATATATGTACCCAGTATGAATGTACCCAGTATGTACCCAGTATGAATGTACCCAGTATGTACCCAGTATAAATGTACCCAGTATAAATGTACCCAGTTTCCTCAGGCCTTAGTCCAAACAGATGCAGTGCCTTTTGCTGCCAGCGTGTGGCGCTAAAACGTACTTTTAATTGATCAGGATTTAGTGTTTTTTCCAAAGGGACCAAACAGTTTATTTATGGCACAAACCGAGACAGAGTCGGACTTTTTGTTTTTTGTGTGTTTTTCTTTCACTTTTAATGAATTCAAAATGAGTTTCACTGCAAAGAACAACATGAGTTCTTTTGAATTAAAACGTTTTAATTTTCACTTTTTTCAGAATCTCTCTGGTCTCTCTCTGGTCTCTCTCTGGTCTCTCTCTGGTCTCTCTCTGGACTCTCTCTGGTCTCTCTCTTGTCTCTCTCTGGTCTCTCTCTGGTCTCTCTCTCTGGTCTCTCTCTGGTCTCTCTCTGGTCTCTCTCTGGTCTCTCTCTGGTCTCTCTCTCTGGTCTCTCTCTGGTCTCTCTCTGGTCTCTCTGGTCTCTCTCTGGGCTCTCTCTGGTCTCTCTCTGGTCTCTCTCTCTGGTCTCTCTCTGGTCTCTCTCTGGTCTCTCTCTGGTCTCTCTCTCTGGTCTCTCTCTCTGGTCTCTCTCTGGTCTCTCTCTGGTCTCTCTCTGGTCTCTCTCTGGTCTCTCTCTGGTCTCTCTCTCTGGTCTCTCTCTGGTCTCTCTCTCTGGTCTCGCTCTGGTCTCCCTCTGCTCTCTCTCTGCTCTCTCTCTGGTCTCTCTCTGGTCTCTCTCTCTGGTCTCTCTGGTCTCTCTCTGGTCTCTCTCTGGTCTCTCTCTGGTCTCTCTCTCTGGTCTCTCTCTGGTCTCTCTCTGGTCTCTCTCTGGTCTCTCTCTGGTCTCTCTCTGGTCTCTCTCTCTGGTCTCTCTCTGGTCTCTCTCTGGTCTGTTTTTTGCAGTGTACGTTCAGTTAAATTCTGTAGATTTATGAATGAAACTGTTTTGAACTCAGTGTTGTTGTTTTTTATGCAGTGATAAATATTCATCTTAAATAAATGTCATATTTTTCTACTTTCTGTCGATCCAAAGTTGAATGTTGTCGATTTTGTTTATTCCACAATCGGGAAAGAAGACAAAGTAATTATACACAAAGTCCGGATTTTAAAGAATAGTTAAACAATCGGTGTGTATTTAAAATTTTGGACTTTCCCCATTTGGATTCAAAATGGCCTCTTCTTCTTATTGATTGGATTCAAAATGGCCGCCTCTGCTTATTGATTGTTTAGAAGTGTGTTTGGTTTTAAGTTCTTAGTGTTTGTCGCTGAAATGAGCTGGAATCAGACTTGGACCAAAGAAAAAGGAACTTCTCTGTTTACTGTTTTTATTTTTATGACTTTATTTACAGTGCCTTGTTTTGGGCCTTTTTACTGTTGTGTTTCTGCTTTGGCCTCCTGCTGGGCCTCCTGCTGGGCCTCCTGCTGGACCTCCTGCTGGGCCTCCTGCTGGGCCTCCTGCTGTGCGTCATGTGTTCAGTTTTGAAGTTTACATCCGTCTTTGTTAAAACTGCAGCTTGAGAAAATGTTTACTTCAGATTTTATAAATGATGAAAATAAAAACATTGATGTTATTTTTGTGTGAATTGTTTTGTTCTAATTTATAACTTCTCAGTGTTTCCAGAACTCACTGCAGTTAGTTTGTGTTTATAGAGAGGAAGGTTTCATATAAGTGTGGCAGTCCCCCCTGGACTGCCACCTTAACGTGGTGGGGGAGTTTGAGCACTCGGATGATCCTGGGAGCTATGCTGTCTGGGGCTTCATGCCCCTGGTAGGGCCTCCCATGGCAGACAGGTCTCAGGTGACGAGTCAGACAAAGAGCAGTCCAGAAGACACCATGGACAGCACTCATACGAAATCAGTGACGTCGCCCGGCATGGCGCAGCCGGGGCCCCACCCTGGAGCCAGGCCTGGGGTCGGGGCTCGTATGCGAGCGCCTGGTGGCCGGGCCTTAGCCCACGGGGCCCGGCCGGGCTCAGCCCGAAGGGATGACGTGGGCAGTCCCTCCTGTGGGCCCACCACCTGCAGAGGGGTCCGTGGTGGCGCGGTGCTGAGAGGACTGAGCTGCAGTCGAAGGCGGAGACCTCGGCGACCCAGTCCGCACACACAACATCTGGCTCTTGGGACGTGGAACGTCACCTCACTGGGGGGGAAGGAGCCCGAGCTCGTGGGGGAGGTTGAGCGATACCGACTAGAGATAGTCGGCCTCACCTCCACACACAGCTTGGGCTCTGGAACCCAACTCCTTGAGAGGGGTTGGACGCTCCACTTTTCTGGTGTTTCCCGCGGGGAGAGGCGGCGAGCTGGGGTGGCCATTCTCATTGCCCCCCATCTCAGCCGCCACGTG